GGGCACAAACCTGAGGAGTTTGGGGTTTTTCCTCGCCTCGGAGCTCGGTCGCAGTGAGGTTGTGCTTGCGGGGCGCCGGTGTGAAACGAGCGCCCCTCGGGTCTCCTCAGGGCCCCGCAGAGCCTCCCTGGGGGCCTCCCTGGGGGCCTCCCTGGGGGCCCAGGACACCGGTGTGCGAACGCTCTGCTCGCTTGTGAAACCCAGCCCTGGGTCAGCCCCGCTCAGCCCCGCCGCTCGTTCCTCCCGTAGGACAAGCTGTGGTTTACACCCGGTTCTCGCACCGTTTGCACGCCGTGCTTTGGAGAGCCCCGTTCCTGTGGTTATGGAATTGGGGTACAAAGCACTGGGAGTTTGTCAGTGCTGTGCTGGGATCGAGTTAATTGGTGTGTCTTGCTTACCATAATGATGGTGTGATGCAGCGTGGAGTACACAGTGCCGTGCAACATTGCCTGGCACTGTGAGGATGCAGCGCTTATAAAATTGTATTCCGTGGGGGAGCTTAGGCTTTGGTGCTGAAATAAATTAGAGAAGCTGATGCTTGACTTGGGCTGCACACCTTTACAGGCTCGGAGGTGGTGCTGTGGAATGCAAATGTGCCCTTTCTTCGCATCAAGACATTGTTCCAGATTGTGTTTTCTACTTCAAGGGGCCATTATAGGCACCTAATTCTATATTGGTCACCAAAATAGGCAGCAGCAGACATTTTGGAAAGTGCTTATTGCTTTTCCGTGTGCTCAGGACAGCTGAATGTGCTGCACCAATTGGCTGCAAGATCCCAAAGCTGCCACTCGTCTTGAAAATCTAAATTGATGCCTGCAGCGCTGATGTCAATTTGTATGTATAAGGGCTTAATACAGCAAAAGGAAATGTACTGGCAGACCGCAGGAGGAATGTCTGAGAGAAGAACTAGGACCATAAAGGACACTTTATCGGTCTAATGTCTGGTTTATTCACGTGGAATAAGATTTGCTGATCTTATGGGGAGGGGGGAATAGTGTTTCTGCTACCCATTTGATCGCTATTTCTGCTGTCATTACTCAAACATTTGCAGGGTCATTTGAAATGTGACTGCAAGACAGGTTGAGCTGACGATCACCTGCAGCGTGATGGTGCTTATTCTTGACAGTCTGTCTGTCCCTATATCCTCTCTCCTGCAGTAGCCATTACCTGCTGATTAACGGGAGCCTTTCCTTAATTCTCCTAGCTTGCACCGAGGAGGCATTGCCCGCCTCGTGCTGAACCTGTGCCAGTGTCCCAAGGACAGATGAGCTGTGTCATTTTATCCCAGCGTGTTTCTGTGGATACTGTTCCTATTCATATCCCCGTTTTAATCATTTATGTTTGATGTCATTGAGCAGCAATGCAGCGTTCTGGTTGAACTGACCCCCATTGTCAAAGAGAAAAACGAGATGATGTGCCAGCCACGCTGCCAAATAGATGGCTCTGCACGGCAGAGGCACCTGTCCAAGGCACCTAGCAGAGGTTTAGGTATTAGCAAGATCTTTCCAACTTACTGGACCAAAATAGAAATCCATTTACCCTTCACAAGCTGTTCTGTGTCTTTCATACTGCTTTTCTCTAATCAATTATAAACTATTTTTAGCCTGCACTGGGATTTTCTAACTTCCATCCCAGTACGTTATCCTATTTGATGCTTTAGAATAAAACTGGCCTTTGAGCAAGAAGTCTCGCAGATTTCCCAGCACTGGCCAATAAATGTGGGAAGAAAACTGGCCGGCAGAGTTCTCATTAGCTGCGTGTTCTCAATTGATCTGTCGCATCTTTTTGAGCAGCGTTTAAGGTCCAGCCTGGAACTCACATGGCTCGTTATTCTTGTAGGCCGAGGTGGTGAGGAGTGGAGGGGAAAGAAAATGATCTGCGCTGTGGAGCGGCGTAGTGGGGGTCACCAGCATCCTACACTGCACCGAGAAGTCACCTGCTTCTTGACTGTCCTCCTCAGAGGCCTTGGAACAGGGTGGGTTTTGCTGCGGAGGTTTCAGATTGGACTTGGGTGATACTGTTATCCCTTTCCAGATTGCTGACCCTGAGACCTGTGACCGAATGTACGAGAGCTTGGTCAGAATCCACACCAACTACTACAAAAACAAGGTGAGCTTTGGTGGTAGCTGTTGTCCCTCTTTTGAGTCACCAGCTACTGCAGTTGGCTGCCTCATCCCAGCAGGGTTTCTGGGAATGTCTTAACAGCCACATGAGTGGTCAGGTGGAGGCAGCACTGGTGCCTTTGGTCACTCCAGGGAAGCTGCAGACATCTTGGCCTCTCTGACATGTATGCACAGTGCAGGTGACAGTTCTTGGCATGGATGAACAGAATTTGTAGCGCTTGACTGAAAACGGGCTCGGCCTCTACCGTCTGGTGACATTTTTACCTTTTTTAATGCACTACAAGTGACATCTTTTTCTCTCTCCTTCTCTCACCTACTTGCTTGTGAAGTACCCACGCCTGAAAGACACAAGCTTCACTGGAGTGACAGTAGAAGATTGCAAGATGATACTAGCAACAGGTACCAATACTGTGCTTGATTCGAGAATAACCCGGTGCAGGAGAGAAAGTACCTTCTGGTCTTTGTGGTGTTCACTGCATCGCTTCTGCTAAACACCTGTGACTAAAGGACACAGTGGGACTGCTGTACAAGTATATTAGGGTGTTTAATGAGGAGTAAGTTCAGGAATAGTTGAGGGGATCTTCAGTAATCTTATTGGGGTGAAAAGCCCATTGTATTTTGCACTGGGCAGGAGCAGCAGAGGGTTTGCGAGGGCTCTTTGAGATCAGACGGCAGGAGCTGCGTGAAAGAAATGCACGTTTGCTACGTCATTCCAAAATGTAGCTCAGCTTCTGTTTCACCATGTTCAAATTCCTTTCAGTATTTCTTCTTTGAGAGAAAACAGGGTACCATGATGGAGAAATACTCTCAGCCAGATCACTTATTAAGTGCAGCGTAGGAAGCTAGTGCAGTTTTGTTCTGCTCTAGTTCCTAACTTTGATTGCAGAGCGTGGAAGCTGAATATTAGATGTTAGTGTTAAGAGACTCCCTGCACAATTGGTTGGAAGGGAAGAGAAACTTGCCTCAGGCCCTGAAATAAAATTCTTTAAGATGAAAGGTCAAAAAAAAGGGAAAATATATGTAAGGCAAAGCTGTTATAAGAGGGCTTTCATTCCTTTGCTTTTCTGCTTTTCTTCCTCTTTCCCCACCTCTCTCCCTTCTGCTTTTGCAGACGTTCTCAAACAGATGGAAGACATGAAAAAAGGGACGTGGAGAAAACTGCGAGAAAAGTTTTCTGCCAAGAAACCTGAAGAGGACTCAAAGTGACAGGCTAACTCCCAGATTCTCCACTGTATATATTCCTAAAGCACTCTATGTTGCCATGATGAATAAAACCATTTATTCCTCTTAGCAACAGCGTATTTGTTCAGACCCACACCTCACAGCCTTCATATTTAGTGCCCCCTCTTTCTTTTTTTCCTGAAAATCTAGGACACGGCTTCACACATCTGTGCTGAAACCATGCTGGGGCGATGCAGTGGAGAGGAGAGAACTTTGTGGTGTCAGATCTGATCCTTTGTATTACGAGTAAGTGGGACAAGCAGGAGATGCACAGAGGAAGGCGATGCAGCCGTGTGTGTGTCTGTGTGTTAGCTTTAAATCTGCTTGTGAAGGTAACGGTAGTGATGATGTGAAAACGTAGCTGTGCTGGTGTTTGTGTGTGTCAGCCCTGGTAATGGTGAAATGGAGGGAGAGGTAACTTTGTCGTGTTTAGTTTCCTTTTGGGAAGAGAGAGGAGAGGGCTGAGGGTGACTGTTTACCATGGTGACAGTGGGGCAGTGTAAGAGTTTAACTGAGATGTCAGTCCAACGCCACAGCGATGTGTTGCTGGTCGAGCTGGCTGTGTGCAGCTTTCCCTCAGCGTGAAGAGATGGTTCCCTATGGTATATCTGAGGGGTAAAGATAGGTTTTAACGCCGTGCTGGTATGGAGGGCTGTAAACAAATTTCAACTGTGATTAGTCCATTGCTATGGCCTATTTTTATTCCTTTTTAAAGCTTTAATGCTTGCATCAGTGTCTATTCTTGGGAGGCAGAGGCACAGGACTGTAGCTGGGGTGGCTCCAGCGCTGCTTGGCTGGGGAAGGATGGGTGTCTAGAACACAGCTATGCCAAGATGCTGCTTGGCTCCAGGCAGCACCAACAGCTGCTCCTTTTCATGTCTTTGAAGAGTGTTTTCCTGGCAAGTCATGAAAGAGTTTGAAACTTTGCATCAGGCTGTAATCCAAAGCTTCAGGAAACAAGGCTGGTCTTGAAGGTAGTTCGTCGTGGTAGCATTCTTCGTCTTCTGACTGGAGCATCGGACTATGTTTTACTGGTTAACAGCTGGAGCTGAGAGCGTGGGGTTGTGGAGCACCTTGGGTAATGCAGCCCTGGTTTGGCTTCGGGTCCTTGGCTTGTTCTGTATTTCTGTTTCAAACAGCCCCATGACAGACCAGAGTGCACAGGAAGGGAGCTTTCTTTACCATGTTTAAGTTTTTATTATAACATGATTTTTGTATTTAATTTAGTTAAGGCAATTTACACTTCAGTTCTTAAGTAACGACAATAACAAAAAAAGTAAAACATTACACCAGAGATGAAACTAAAACACAGGATACCCCTTCACAGTGAACTCCTGTAAACCTGCAGTCTCCCACTACTACTGCCCAGATATTCTTGGTCCACAGAAGGCAAAAGACTAGTTCCCACTGGTACAAGCTTGGATGCTCATCCTCGTCTGGCGAGTTAAATTAACAAATCCATCTCCTTGAGTTTAGCTCCTCTTCCCTGCACCACAGTGATGAACAGAATTCTTTAAATGGAGAGGGATCAGCATGGAGCAGGTACAGCAAATACGACGGCTGGTTTGCAAAGATCCACGTGTACTAGTGCCACTCTCGGAATAAGTTAAATATTGCAGCCCTACAGCTAGGCACGCTACGCCTGAGGCGGAGGCCAATCCGGCTGTAGCGCGTGGAGATAAAGATGCAACCCTCCACATTTGCAAAACGAAGAGTTACCGCAACGAGGAATAAAAGTCCTGTATAATTTATCTTCCTACAAGGGCATTAGAGTAACCTGTGGGTCCAGGTATCGTGAGGAATCCCGGCCGGTCCCTGGTTCCTGAATTGCTTACAAGCGCTCTAAGGAAAAGGGGGACGGTGAAGCCCTTCCGCATGGTCCGTCCTCCTCTGCCCGACGTCCCCGCGTGGCACCCAGGAATAAGCAGCCTCGTTAGCTGATGGATACGGGTAGTCCCTCGGTGGGGGAAGCCGACGCTTCTTCCTAGTGGTTCATGGTATTCTGGACATCCACAAACCCCATCCTTTGTCTGCGCTTCCGTTGCTCTGTCATCTGGAGTTCAAACAAGGACACAAGTGAGGTAGGAAACCAGACCTGCCTTCTGCTCCTCAGGTGTGTGACTGGCTAGGCTGCTTTAAGCATCTGCCAGAAAACCCTGTGAGCTGGACTCCAGCTGGTGAGGAAGTGTCAAAAAACCACGTGTCCCAAGCGTCCCCAACTCCCCCCAAAAGAGCTGCAGGAGCCCTTTGCTTTGTATCTGAAGTTGTGCTGGTTCTGCCTCCTGTTCCTTGCCATCAGCGTCTGTTTTGGTAAAGACAGCGGGTTTCTGCGCCCGTGTTCCTATTTTTAAAAGCGGTCAGTACCTGTTCCTTCAGCTCGTTCAGCTGCGAGGTGAGATGGGACACCAGCTTCATCGTGGTGTTGAGTTTGTCCTGAAGATTCCGGATCTCATTCTGTTCCCCTTCCCCTTCATTGCTGACCAGCGACATGGCTCGCATCCGGGGGAACCAGTCAAGGTTCTTGTTCTGGAAAGGAGACCGTGCAGAATGGGAGTTGGAGAGGGGCTGAGGAGGAGGGGAGAGACCTGGTAGGATTTAACAGAAAGCCTGCCTGTGCTTAGGGATTAAAGACATTCTAAGGCTCAGTCTTGTCTTTCTGCAAATTTTCCACGAGTGGTCCAGTTCCAGTTTTTCTTTTCTTACAGCCTTCTGGGCTCAAGTTCAGAAGTTTTTCTTTTCTAAATTTCCGTTCCCTCCCTTCTTGCCTTGAAATCACGCTCTCTACTGCTTGGTTCTGCCCGTGCTTCAATCCTTAAATACCCAGTACAAAACCTCAAACAGACAATGTGGTGTTGGCCCGGATTGCAAAGCGGAAATCAGCAGCTAAGAAAGAACTAAGGCACAACAACGTTACTAAATATTTTCCAAAAGCTGCTTCTCAAAACTGTTTTGCTTTGGCAAGCCCCTGGTGCTCGAATATTTCCCAGAGTAGGCAGGCTGCAGTAGTGAAAGAGCTGCCCTGAGGCGACCCGTACCTTTATCATCTGCGCCACGTAACTCTCTGGCCCCGTGTAGTCTGTCTTGTTCTTCACCCGCACCAGCACTATGAAGTACAAGTAGTTCCACATGTTGTGCTCATATTTAATATGCTCCTCAAAGGACACTGTCTTGTTGTCAAACTTGTCCCTTTCGAGTCCTGGGAAAGGCAGGTGAGAACAGAGAAGGTGGAGGGAGGAGAAGGTAAGAAGTGAGCAGGCAGATGCGAAAGGAAGCACAGATAATTGCCTCCTCTCCCAGGTGTGACTTTCAAGAAGTGCTTTTAATAATTAGTTGGCATTTAGCACACAACAAGCATTCAAAACAAGGGGAAAATAACCCAGCTGTGGATTCAGGCGGCTTCTATTTAAAGTACTACTAGCTACGCTTCCTGCCTATCTATCTAAAATGCACCCAGTGGATCTTTTAAGAAAAAAGCAGCTAGACTGATTGGGTTTTTCCCTTTTTTTGGATGCCTTCTGACGACTGGAAGTATTCCAGAACAGGTTCTGTATTTTATTTCCTTAGAAATATGGTGCGCTTTTTTTCCCCCCCACTGGCTCACTGATGGTCTCAGGAGTGATGGATGCACAGCGACAAGAACTATACAACACTGCGTTTCAGTTTTACACCTCATTAACAGAGGGCGAGGAACAATACAGATAATTTCCCCTCTCAGTTTGTGTCCTTGTTTAAGCCTCCTCACACTGCAGTGACCCCTCGGTGAACAGATTCAAGTTTTGCTGTGAGCCAAATGAAACCCAGAAACCGGCTGAAACTTTTTTTTCCTTCCTCCAACCTTAGCAGAAGGGAGGAGCTTTGGGGCAGTTCCGACGCACCGAGGTCCCAGCGCTCACCACATATGAAACAGGTGGTCTTCAGGATCTCCTCCTTCTTTTGCTTCTCACTCCTCAGATCAGCAAAGGTGTCGATGATGACCCCAAAGATGAGGTTAAGGACGATAATAATGACAATAAAGAAGAAGAGGAGGTCGTAGACAACCCGAGCAGGAAACAAGGACTCCTGTAATGAATGAACAGGATAAATGTGTGTCTCTGGCACACCTCTCCTCTAGCCACTCCAACCATGCTGCCACGTTACACAGGCCATGGGCTGAGGGTACCAGGGGAGGAGGAAGAACAGGGATGTGGTAGGGGAAGAGAGGAAGGAAAGCACCGGAGGACAGTGTGGGGGGATAGAGCTGGAAGCGTCACGGTTTCCAGGGAGGGAGGGCAGCTGCACAGCGGTAAATGCAGCGGGACTTAGCAGGAGAAAGTGCTCCCAAGCTCACATCCTTCGATGGCTTCCGCAGAATGTCACCCACGCCCCCTCCGTTCCTCAGGCCGTGGTTCAGGACAGTGACGATGCACATGAGCAGCGTGTCGCAGGCGCGTTCCCACGGGTCAGCCGCTGTTTCTGGAGGGCCAGAGAGGGAAATAAAAGCAAAATCCCAGAGCGCAGGCAGGGCTCAAGGACCAGACCGTTACAAAAATCCCGAGCTGCAGGGATGATTCTTCTGCAGGGATGCAGTGGCAAATCTCCTGGGAGCAGGTGCTCGTTGTGGATCTCCCAAGCAGCAGCTTCCCGGCACCTCCTCCAGCTCGCTGCTTGCTGTGGAGGTGTTTGGCTGAGCGCTCCTGAAGCTCCCACTTTCTTTATGGCTAAATCAAATCTACTTCAACGTTTTTTATGCCACGGTCAGTGCAGAATTTGCAGGCCTCTTGCCTAATACGTGCCAGAAAGCGGGTTGGTTGTTTCCACCTTTGAAAAGCTAGGCTTTTACTGAGCTCACTCACAAACCAGGCAGCAAATTTACTCTGCCACTAACAAAATTGACCTTTCTAATGAGCTCACTTACCTTCCAAGGCAGTGGGCACAGCCGAGCAGCTAATTTTGTCACTGCTGCATGACTCCATGAAGGTCTCCATGTTCCTGTGCATCCCCAAGGGGTCATCTGCAAGTAAGAGAGACCGCAGCCTTGTCAGAGCATCAGCTTGCCTTAGTAAAGCTCTTCACTGCTGTGCCTTAGTAAAGCTCTTCACTGCTGTCTCGGGTGCTTTTCAACTGCCGCTTCTTGTAGCTTTCAAGCTTCTTGGGGGAAAAAAAAAGGTTGGTTCACATTGTCTTAGCGTTTTCTGGGCTTTGAATCTTTTGCTCAAGTTCCAGTAAGACCTCCACAGCGCTAAAACTTCATTTGTGGCCGTCTCCCCCCTTCTCTGCATCACTCCCCAAACCCCGCTCTCTGCAGCACGAGGTCCGTAAGTCGGCACAAGCAACTGTCTTCTCTGCCAGCCCCCAAACCAGCACTACCAGGGGTTTGCACCAAGGGTATCAACCCCACGATGCACGCACAGACGCAGACACGAGGGAGCAGGGGAGGGAGCAGGGTCTCATGCAATGGTCCAGCTGCAGAAGGGGACCCACGCTCTGCCTGGCCCCTCTCTAGCCCGAGCACCGCAGTCAAGGAGGGCAAGGGCTGAACAACCTTTGGCCTTGCTGTCCGGCAGCCGGTCCACCTCCAGGATGAAGTCATCCTTGAGGAACAGGAAGCCCACGATGGAGAAGAGGTAGACGAGGATGAGAGCCAGGAGGGCCGTCAGCAGGATGGAGCGCCCGTTCCGCGTCACGCTTTTGATGACGTTAAACAAGGTCTCTTCACGGTAGATCAAGTCAAACAGCTGAAAGGACCCAGGAGCAAAGAAAGGCCGTGGGGTGCTTTTCTGGATAATCCCTGGCCTACCTATATCCCCTTTTACCCTGAGATCTTGGATCACTCCACAGCCTTTGATTAACTTTCACATAAAGCATTTAAGTTTCCCAGCTTACTGTAGGGAAGCAGAGAAGAATGGAGCGACCTATGCACAGCAGGGGAGCCAAGAATAGGACACGTGCACCCTGCCTCTGCCCTCACCAGCTCACATTGTCTCCCAGCTGACCCAGATAAAGTACAGTAGAGATTAGAAGGACAGAGATAGCAAAAGACCAGGAGAGAGACAGTAATAGATACTGTTGGAAGGCAAGAAAGATCAGCCTATGCAAAGATTAGAGCACAGTGAACTGCTCTCACTGCTGTTACCAATCAGCCCCTGGAAGGTGTCACAGGAACCTTCTAGTGGGGCAGACAGGCTATCTCCATGCCCCGAACATCTGCCTTTATCGTACCAGGATGCTGTAGAAGAGTTCGTGCACAAAGAGTCCCAGGACGCTCGTCAGGATGTAGCCAACGTGGTAAAGAAATTCCACATCCATGATCATGGCCTTGTAGCCTCGGATGAAGGTCCCGCGATTGCCCACGAAGCTCACCACAAACACAATCTTGTTGGTCAGCTGGGGAACAACCAGAAATGGGAGGGACTGGGGTTTTGCTGCACTTCACGAACGCAGCACAGCCTCCTGCGCCACGGGCCGCTATGCTGTTTTCCCAGCACACGGAGAACTTACATTGAGAGCTCCCAGTATGTTCAAGGTGAGTCCAATCCCCAAGTAATAAATCGAGCGCAAGATCAGTGCCACGAGGAGCGGTCTGACACCGTAGCGCTTCGTGAACAAGGCCATGATGGAGAAGCAGATCAGAATCCAGAAGAGCAGCGAGATCAGCGGGGAATCCAGCACTCCTGGGAAGAGAAGACCCACAGCAATTAACTGGCGGGGGATTAAATGGATGCTGCCAATCAGACACTGCGCTGCTGTCCAGACTGTCCAGAAAAACGAAATGTGCTAATTATCAGAGGGAAGAAAGAGAGAAATTATGCTTAATTACAAAGACTAGTATTGACTAAGATGGTTCTACTGATACAGTTTCTAACATCTTTTATCCGAGATCTCAAAACCACTGTAAATGGGGGAGGCTTTGCCTGACAGCAGGTATGCATTCTGCCAGTGCTCCCCCCATTTTACAAACGGGGAAAGAGCAGCCCAGGGAGAAGAGACTCCTCCCTAAGAAGGAAGCAGTGGGAGGGCTGGCAACCGAAATCTTGACTCAATCCCTTCCTTTGATCAGCAGAAATTACTTGGAGCTTTAGGAGTCAAAAGTAGACTGAGGGTGGGGGAAGTACAGGTAAGGGGACCAGTTTTCTTCCACCTCGAGGAGCAGCAGGTGCTGGGGGTACTTACCCATGGAAGTGGCTTCAACATAGGGGTAGAAGAAAGCAATGATTATGTTGATGAAGACCGCCAGGTTGAAGGAAATGCTTCCCCAGAGCGTCATTCTGCGGGAGAACCAGTACATCAGCGGCATGCCTGGAGGGAGAGGAGGCAGACACACAAATCTCAGCCAACCTTGTGCCAACTGAGGAAGGCTTTGTCCTCCCAGACATCCGAAGGGCTTGGCTCAGTACAGCTGGCGGGCCCGGAGGGATCCTTGCCTCCCACTATCCTTCAAAACGTTAATAAAAGCTCCTTCCTCATCAGCTGAAGTAGGAGTGCAAGTTCAAAGTGTTACTGCTCACATTTCTTGGCTTCTCAACCCTTTGACCTGCTTGGGCACCTTGGAATCAGATCGGCTTCGTTCTCCTCCTCACCCTCCTCCCTATCTCTGCCCTCCTACAGCCTCACTGCTCACGTCCTTCAAAACAACAGTGTCTTTGTGTTTTCAGTGCTGGTGCTTGGCCCCGGGGGAGCCCCAGCCAGCAATTTCCCATCCATACTGAAAACTTGTTTCCTGCTAAATTCCTAAGATAGTTTTGACTGGATCTGCAAGTGGTTTTAGAGCTGCGCTACTCCTTAGCTGTGTCGCAGTACTTATAGTGTGACTCTTTACTGAGCTCCTGTTATTTTAAGCCAGGATTTCCGTCCTGATGCAGCCCTGAAAGCACCTAAGCAGGCCTGCAGGGTGCAGAGAAACAAGTTTTATTTCCCATGTGTAGCTGCTAGATCCTGGCTTAGGAAAAGGCAACTGAAAACAAATGAAGAGAGGGCTTTCCAGGGGAAAACACCTGCAGGTGTAATCCCAGGGAATGGGCTGTAAGATGCATTTCAGACTACCAGGGAACTGCGCTAACAGGCACGGAGGAAATACATCCCTGGGATCTTGATTAACCTCCGCTCCCTGCAAACTGCCCAGTGTGTTGTGCTCTACAGAGCGAGGGGCACAAGGAGCTCAGAGATGGGATTCCCAGGCTGCCGCCAGGGTTCACAGCCCTTTCAAAGCAGGGCTGCCCCCCCGTTGGACAACAGGGGCTATTCGAAGTGCCTGTGCTGGCCTGGGGGGAGCCCAAAGGGAAGGTCTGGTTGGCTCTTACTGCGCAGTTTCTTCTGCCATTCCATCTCGTTGTGGAGGAAGGACGACTGGTCGAAGAAATCACTGACTTTGCTGCCCTGCTCGTCCTGCTCCGTGGTGGTAAAGAGCCGGTACTTGGTCTCCTTGGTGAGGAACTCGCAGATGCCAGGCACGGGGAAGATTATCTGCTCCATGCTTCGGTCCAGGCGCACAATCTGCAGGAAGCAGGGCGAAGGGGACGGTGCCGTCAGATCCTGCCCCTGCCAGGCTTTGGTTTCCTCTTTCCTAGACCCAGCTGTGCCTTCCCCTCCTCCCTCCCGCTCCACTGGGATCAAAGTATCCCTGTGCTGGAGCAAAGCTGACGGTGCACGAACCCTCGCTGGCCCATCTGCAAGGAGATCCAGGCTGACAAGCAAGGATGGGGCTGCCAAATCGGCTGCATCCCCACTGCTGCTGGGCTGGGAGAAAAAGGAAGGGTCTGGGGAGGGGGCAAGCTCACTCCCCCAGCTCCTCACGGGCTCTGCTAACGCCTCCAGCTCTCCGCAGAGCAAAAGGTCTATCTGCTTCTTGCTGGCACAGGGATGGGAAGGCTCCTAGCGCAGAATAACCTGACGTGGGGCAGCTGGAGCACACGTGGGCTTCACCGACCGCGCGCCTACTGGCACCCCAACAGCTAACAGGTCTTGCCTCAATTTGGGATGTGTGTTTCTCGTAATACGCCAGCGGGTCCTCCTCTTCTTCCTGGACGGGGGCTGTTGACTTCAGCATCTGCGTCAGCTGCTTGTTATTTAGGCTGAGCTGGGTTGTGGGGAGAAGGAGAGAGGGTGAGAGTGGCCTCAGCCGGGGGAGTCAGGTCTAACTCTGCACTGACAACAGCATTCCACAAAATCTACCAAAGCTGATGAGGTTTCAGGGAAAAGCAAATGAATTAAAGCTTCCTAAAGGGGTACGAGCTCTCCCTGAGGTGACAGACATTCGATTCCCTGCAATAATTACATTCAAATGCTGCTAATCCACAAATTGCAAATCAATGCCCATAAAACCCCAGGGAAATCATATTACTGCTGAATCTTGTTCAGGATCTAAAGTACATAGGCAAGAAATGACAGCAAAGGACTCAGCCCTTCCTTTTCTGAAGGGAAGGGGAGAAAGCGGGTACCAGCAGGACCCCAGCAGGGCCACCAGCCTGTCCCTGCAGCGAGCTGGACATCACCCTACGGCTGAGCCTTCCTTGGGGAGCCCTGCAAATACAGCTTTCTGCAGCTTGGTTACAAAAGGCGCACATGCCTTTAGGCTTGTAGTTCGGGCTACAAAGGCACTGATAAATCTTTCTTTCTCCAGGCCCCCTGCAGAATACCAAACCCCATCAAATCTCAAACAACAAAACCCAGGGTGACTCAGCAACGGTGGGAGAAGCAGCTCTTTGCAGTCTCTAGTCGGGGTCGGGGCAGGTTGCAGGGGCTCTGCCTCCATTCCTGAGGCCCATCCGTACCATGGACGAGATGCCCTCCTCCTCCTCCTCCTGGATTCGTTTCACTGGCTTCAAGAGCTGCTGCAGAGACTTGTTGTGTCGGGACAGCTGGAAGAGGGACAGCAGTAGCAGGTGAGCACAGGCTGGTGAGCAGCCACGGGTGCACACGAGAGTGGGACACAGGGTGCACAGGGGAGCCTCGGGGCTGGCTTTTCACAGGAGCCAAAAGCCTATTTCCCAGCCATGCTGCCCCAAGGAGGCCAGTCTGGCTGGAGGAAAGTTAAATAAATATAGAGAAAAACGTGCAAATCAGCGAGTGGGAGCCTAGCCTGGCAGGGACCTTGCTGTCACCCAGTACCTGCAGGGCCAGTATATAAATGTTGTGGCCAACTTCCCGGGGGGAAACCTCGGCATTTTCACACTCCTCCTCCTGCAGATAGGCCTTCTTAATCACGTCGACCTGGAAGGCAGCAGGAGGACAGTGAGCTTCTCCCCATCTCCTTGCCTTGTTTTCCTCCTCTGGCCACCAACGGCTCTGGGAAAACCATTAGGCAAGGATGCTTGTGCAGAAGGCAGTGACCAGCAGTATGGCAGATGAGATGGTTGTTGGCTTGCAGACCAGAAACCGTATCAGGACCCGCAGGCAGAAGAGGTCCCGCAATGGGCCAGGGGGGAGGCTGGGGGTGTTTCACTGTCAGCCCTCACCAGTTCCTGCGGGCGGAGGCTGATGAGGATCCGCTCGGCGTTTTCGCTGTCGTGTCTGCTCTCCATGAGGGCCAGGAGGAGCTTGGAGGCATTGTCCTGGTGAGGAGAAGCCCGTGCTGATGGGAGCTGAGCCCTGCTGCTGCCCAGGGCTTCGGAGCGGGCAGAACCCCCCCGTGCCCGGGTCAGCTGCAACTCCCCTGTGTTGGAGGCATCTGAGCCTCACGCGGTGGAGATGCACCAGCCCTGTCCCACCAAGCCCACACCCTCCCACGCTCGAGGACACGTGCACAGCCACCTCACCCCACAGCACACCCCACGGCCATGCCAGCAAGCCCACGCAGTGATGCACACATGCGTGCCCAGCACCCCAGCCCCAACCCCTGCCCACCTTCAGCTGCAGGACCAGGTCCATCCGGTATTTGCAGAGGGGGCTGATGTCGTTAAGGATGAGGGCTGTGATGATGTCGATCCCATTGGACTCGTGGGTCACGATGCAGCTCTGGGGGAGCAATGCAACGTATTATCCCATGGATGCTGCCAGTCCTCCCAGCTTCACCTTGGAACGCAGCCCAGGTCCAAACTGGTGCCCTGCCTACAGCACTGACCCTGCCAGATTAGCCCAGGAGCCCCAAACCTCCTGTCTCCCTGGAAAGGGCACTGTTTGCACCACTGTATTGTTTAAGCCCCATTTGCATCACCATATTATCTAGTCAAGCAGTAGCTCATAATCCATGCAGCATCCCTGTGCACCTTGGCATCCTCTGCTGCCCTGTTCACACCCCGAAACCAAAAGCTGCTCCTGACCCTGCTGCGTTCCCACACATCCCCCCAAATGCTCCCTTGGGCATCCCTGATCAGCGGTGAAGCGTCCCAGGCACGCTGGGAATAACCCAGACCTGCAGGGATACCCACAGACCTGGTTCTCGTGGCAGGGCCCTTGGCAGTACTCAGTCAGGGTCTCCAGGGTCTGGGTGATGAGGGCCACGTTGTACTCGTTGATGTAGAGGCCCAGCAGCCCCAGCCCCCCCGTGGTGCTGCCGCACATGATGTCGAGGAACTGCAGCGTCTCGCACACCAGGTTGTAGTTGGTCTTGTTGTTCTGGCACCGGAGGAAGTTCTGTCAAGAAAAACCTGCAGTTACGGGGCTGAGCGGCAGCACTTTGATGGGCGGGGGGCACTCCTGATCCCCCTCCCGACACCCCTCCAGCTGCAGTTCAATGGAGATTTGGGCTGGGGGCACTGCTGTAACAGACAGACCCCCGAGAGCAGCCCTCAGTCCCACGGACATGGTCGTGTCGTGAACGACTCCTTCCACAACACCAAAAGTTATCCATAAGGGATGGTGCATTTGCAGATGGGGAAACTGAGGCATGGAGTGGCTTTTTGGACCAAATTGAGGCAGAGCCCAGCCTTCCCACACCCCAGTCCCCTGGCCTCTGTCCTGACCCCCAGACCCTAGCAGCCTCCATAACCAACCTGCAGGTCCCGGTTGTGGTTCTCACAGAGCAGCTGCAAGAATCGCAGGATCGGCTCCATGATCAGGACCGTCACCCCCATTTCGTTGTTCTGGCCCTGCTCCCCAGTGTCATGGCCCTTCCGAAACCCTATGGCCAGCGGGTATCGGGAGGGGGTGCCAGGCATCAGGAAGGTGTCTCCTCGTCCTAGAGGGCAATGCAACCTCGTTAGCATCGGGGTATCCAATGAGATGGACATTGGCTCTCCCAAGGGGACACGGCCCCATACCTTTAGTGCCAGGGTCAGGCTCGTCTTTGTCCTCACGAGGCTTGTTCCCAATGTCACTCATGTTCACGGACACCGTAGACTTGGTCTCCTGCTGCGCCTTCTTCATCCGGTCGTGCAAAACTTTGAAGAACTTCTCGGATTTCTTGTCACTCGTCATGAGGTTGTAAAAGGATTTCTGGGAGGAGGGAGGACAGTCGTTCAGGTCTCCACCATGGGGTCCAAACTCTCCCTGCCTGCCCCTCTGATTTGGTAGCCTCCAGCACTCAAGACCTTGTCCAAGATAACCTGCTCACCAGGATTATTTCCATACAACAGCCCTGGACATCACAGTCCTCTTGGATTCACTGGGGTGGACTGTCCCTTGCCGCTGCGCACTTTTACCCCAAGCAGGGTTAGGGACAGACCAAGCAGCAATTACAGCAGCTCCAAGCCTGGAACCCTACTGGTTTTTGCATGTACCATTGTTTGGCTTCCCTGTGGTAAAGGATTCAAGATAACCCACGAGTAATCACCCAAGAGCTGCAGCTCCGAGCCATTTTAGCAATACCCGGCAGAGGGCATCAGCATTACTCCAGAAACAACCTGCAACAACCTGCCCCTTTTGCAGCATCCAGCCACGGAGCTGGAAAACTCAAACCCAGACAGATGTCTGCGGTTCCTCCTCTGGATGGCTAGCAAACACGAGCAACCAAACAGTATTTTGGTAAAGCCTGCTGCCCAGGGGCCAACCCAGGACTCAGGACTGCCCTGCACCCACGTCTTCCAAGTGCTGGGACCGTCACACTGCACACATCAAACCGCGGCTGCCCAATCCCCCTGGGACTGGCGCCCACCACGCAGCTGGGGCTCAGCACCTGGATCTCGGTGTTGCCTCCGTCCAGCAGCCGGATGGCAAGCAGGATGCTCTCTTGGAAGATCTTTTCGTTCTTGGTGTTCATGATGAGGTCAGCCACCAACTTGGTGGCCCCTTCTCGGTCCAGCCGGCACTGGACGGCAGCGATAGCAGACCAGTCCTGGTCTTGGCCTGAACGAGAGGACACACATGGACGTGATGCTGTGGTAGTGCAGAACAAGCACAGCTAAATCTCTGCCAGGGGCATCTCAGTCCCATCCCTTCATCTCCTCAAATCCTTTACTCCCATGGGGGTGGGGGCATGGCGATCAGCTACAGACCTGATCCCATCACGGCTCAGGAGCCAGGGATTTGAGGTGTGTGGGAGAAGCACAGAGAGACAGGGAAGGCGCAGGAGAGGGGCACTCACCTCCTCCAGAAGCATCCACGATTTCCCCTTTGGAGCTGGACTTCTTGTTCTGCAGGTAATTGTTCAGCAGCATTTTCCGCAGCAGGTTGCCCTGCCAAGACAAATAAACGTCATGAGTCTCCCAACATCAGGGCCAGCACTAGAGCGGAACGAGGCTGAGCACCCGTGGGCTGCAGCAGGGAGGGCACTGCCAGCCTGGGTGGCAGGGGCTGCACGGATGAGGAGCAGGGCTGGGGACATGCCATGGCACCATGGTGCTCACCCTCTCGCCGTATCTGTTCCTCTTCACCAGCATCTGCTGCAGCGTCCTCAGCACCTTGATGCACAGCTTCTCCTCCGTCTCCATGAGGTCCTTGGTGTGCTGCACGAGCCTGGCACAGCAGAGCCACCGTCACACAGACGAGAGGGACAAAGGGGTCCCTGAGGGAACTGTCCCCACCACCCCTCCAAGCTGCAGGCACACGCCGGGATGCACAGCCCACAAGGGATGAAGGTCACCAGACCTTCCCAGCGCTCCCAGCAACCCCTGGACAATTGCAAACCATCCTCACTTGGACAGAAAACCTCCACTCTCGCATCGCTGAAACGCCTCCGTCCCCTCCATGAAAAGCAGCTCTGGCCGGTGGAGGACATCCACCAGGACAGACAGCTCAGCCTCCACCAGCGGTTTCAAGCGATCCTCCAGGGCGTTGATGATGTCCTACAAGTCACAGCACACACCCTTAGGGCCAATGCATGCCTAGGAGACACGAGCACGGGAGAGGGACCCCTGCAACGCCAGCACCTTCTTGCTATCATGCAGTGATCCCTGCCACTGCTGCTTCCCTACCCCGTACCTGCAGCTTCTCTATGATATTCTTGTAGTCCCACTGGTTGGGGGTGGTGGAGACACGAGGGAAGGTCCGCGTGGCCGTCTTGTAGCTGGACGTGTTCCTCTGCACGGTGCTGGTGGAGCTGCTGTTGAGCAAGGAGCTGACGTGGGCGTCCAGGTCCATGGGCAGTGCAATGGAGCGGCTCTTGGCTGCAGGAGACAGAGCCAGGGTTGGGGACAGCCGTGATCCAACCCACCCCATCAGCTGGGCCCTACCACATCCCCTTGGGCTGGGCACCCCTTCACCAGCTCTTCGTTTGCAGCAGGGAAGATTTGGGTTAAATACAAGAGTAAACTCCTCCAGGCTACTGAGGGGTGGAGTATTTCCATCTCTTTCTCCCCACTGCGGCACAACATTGCCTATAGCCCTCCAAAGCCCAACACAGGATGGAAAGGGACCGAGACCTCCAGTTTTGGTTGGGAAAGCTCAGCACGGAGAAGCTGCAAGCACCCTGCCTCCAATTACGAAGGGAAATCCCCACCCAGTGTCTAACCACAGAGCAATCCTTTCCATGCGGTGACTCAGTGCTAACAACCCTTGTCCTGATTCAGGCAGCCACAAGCAGGCTGAGGGCAAAGTCCTGGCGAGGGAAAACCACCATAAATGCTGGCTTTGTTTCCTTCACCGGCAGGGACACCCCAGGGATCTTCCAAGCAACCCCAGGCATCCGTTATCCCCATGCCACCCTGGAGAGGTAGCTCAAAAAAAAAAAGCACATCCCGGATCCAAACCTCCCCATTCCCGGCCGGCAGCCTCTTGCCGGGGCACCCTGCCAAGACCCGCAGTAGGGACGATGGCTCTTGCTCGTTGCCGGAGCAGAGGCAGCCAAAGGTGGTTGCATCCTCCTGGAAAGCATCACTCTGGCGTGGCTCCTTACCAACCATGGCCAGCGTTCGGATGCAGGCTTCCACCGAGCTCTTGTGCTGCTGCTGCAGCCAGGGGCACTCCAGCAGCCTCATGGTAGACTGGAGAAGCTGCACCACAATGGTCTGGTGGGTCTGCAGGAGACAGCAGGCAGGTGTGTATCAGTGCAAGGTGTACCCAGACCTTGTTTTGGGGGGCTCGATGAGCTGCTTTCCTCCCCCAGCCATGGCCTGTCCATGCAGCACCTTATTACCTGCAGCGACGTGCTGTTCTCTGAGAAGGGGGAGCTGAAGAACGCGTTGATGGTGTCCAGCACCACCGTCAGCACGTACTTCTCCAGCGTAGGGTCTGGCAGGCGTTTCTCCCGCTTCTTGCACATCTGTGAGGAGAAGAGAAGAGGGTGATGGCACCAGGGTGAGGTGAGCACAGATCCTGGCTGGATGCTGCTGGCTTACAGCGCTGCTGGGACCTTGCTGAGCTGATGGATGTGGCTGGTGACACAGCTCCTGGGTCGACACCAGAAAGCCCTGACTGGTCCCCAGCCCCTAGTGTGGCAGCTACACAAGTTCCCATCGTGCCCACGCCCCCCG